TAGTCGGAATTGAAACCTCTGCAACGATGTGTCGAATGATGATTTTAGATCTGAGACCCAGAAGTATCTTAAGGTTGTTCAGGATGGAGTTGCCAATGTGCCCAGGATCCAGCGGAGGGTTAATCGTCCCCACTCCGTCGTAGTCCCCCCTCGCCTTCGACCGCCCTTCTCATTATGTGATGCTTCAAGAATCAACGCTGCCATGAGCGTTTCTACCCATATCTACCATTCTAATTTCATTTTCTTCACTGACCTCCTCTAAAGGCGAAGGGAGTGGGTGGCCATGGAGATGAGAAGTCTGGGGATTTCGCATTTCATCTTGACGCTGGATCCTTGTAGGTACACTTCATTTCTATTGTACGATCCTCGATGCGTGCTTGTGACTGCGGGCCGTGTCTAGGGTCACTACTTTTGGCCTCGACGTAGACGGGAGCTAACGCGAGTCGGCTTGAAGTACATCTCCGACGGACTCCCGGGGAAGAGAGGGTGTCTTTCAGTGCGGATTGGAAGAAGCCATGCTAATCCCTGCTACTCGTTGCAGCAGTGGCATTCCATTGACGTGATTTTCAACACGAGCTAGGCCGAATTGAGCCGTTGTCTGGAGGATAATTCTAGCGGACGACCGCGCTCATCCGCAGTATTCCGGGATCTCTCCGATCAATATCAGGCGAATACTGGAGCAGTACCCTAACAAACTAGCCACGGACCGCGCGCGATTATTCCTTACCCTACCCTCACCCTTTACATTCACACGCTCACACTAACATGCTCTACACTACCACACATGCCTAGAGACCGGTCGGGAGCTTAGAGCTGTCCCGGCTGGGGCGGTGCCCCGCTGGATACCTGGTTGAAGGAAACCCCAGTAGCCGGCGCCGGATCTCTTCATTCAGCGAGGGAAGATCACTGCCACCTCCCGAGGAAAAATCATGCACTTTACGTGCGGGAATAACGATCTGAGTAGGTGACGTGCCCTGCATCAGTCGAATGCTGTGTCCGTTTTGGGGGCTGTTGGGGACGTGGGTGTAAACTGTAAATTGTTCAATAGATTCGAAAATGATCTTCGCAAAGAGGAGACTTTTTGGAGGTCAAAAAGAGAGAATCGTTGATCTCAAAGTATTAGTTGTTAAGAGCGATATACCAAACCACGTGATTTGGCCATGGAATGTATTGAGCAGGATCGTTCTTTGAAGAGCATCAGCACAGTGCGATTGGCTCGATTCATTGAGCATTTCGTACGATTGAAGTGGTTGTTAGAAGAATGGTATCCTCCGTTTCTAAGCCCGCACTAAATCACTGACTAACAAATCCAAAACCAAACACATTGTCGGACTCCAGGTTACCTACTCTAGCCACTATTTTATTTCGAATGATCAAACACTAGAACTTCTAGACAAAAATTGAATTGATATCTTTCAGACTGAAGGCGTTATGGATACGCACTGAAAGGAAATGGAAATGAATCCTCCACTACCACTCAGATACTCACTTTCGACCGCCCTTCTCCTCCTGAATGCATCTCAACTTATGTTATGATCTTTGGATGCACCATTTCGTTTTTTTAGAAAACCAGTCTTATGACCTTCAAAGGTGTTTCAAAGGAATTTTTTAAATTCACCCATGTATGTTTATATTTCCAATTAATAATGCATACTATATTATCGAAATAAAGGATATCTGAAACCGAGATATTCTAATTAGCGAGCACGCGGACTTACAGCTAGCCACGACTCCGAAGCCTTATACTATCTTTGTCAAAATTTCTTTATGTATGGCAGTCGTTAAGTTTTTTATACTTTCTCGCTTTACGAATTCATCGTAAGAAGAGAAAATTATGTAATCGTGCGACGGAAAACGAATTTTTTCACGGCGAAATGTTCGTCCGTATGTGGTCAACGCTAGCGGCTAAACGGTTCAGCCGATTTTCTCCAAAATTGATATTCCTCAACCGATCTGGCAGCCCTTGGATTTTGAAACCAATATTTTAATTTAGGGGGATACTTAACATGAAGTTTCTTAGACATTTTCAAATTTTCAAAAAAACGCTGCAAATTTTTTTGATGAAATATTGTTGTTCAATGTTGCGAAAGACGTTTAAGAGAATGGTGGTGGAGGTCTCATTTTCATATTCCCGATTTTTCGAAAATTGCAAAAAAATTTAACCTACAAAATTGATGATAAAGGTTTTTGGCTCAAAGTCCGTTGTACTAAAATAAAGTCATACAATTTTTTTTGTAAAAGTTTTTTTGGGTAATTTTCGATTTTTTTCAAAAACCGCTCCAAATTTTGTCTTTAAATTTTCTTCATATATGCAATAATGGACGGTAAACAAGATGGTGCTAGTCCCATTTTCGGGTATTGCTCTTTTTTTCAAAAATTGCAAAATAATTTCAAAGCTAAAAATTGAAGATATTTTTGCCTCAGAAAAAGTTTATTGTAGTAAATTAGCTATTTCAATAAATAATAAATAAGTGGAATAGAATGGCACAGAATTTCTCGCCCTAGTTTTCTAATCTCTGTACTCTTGACTAACGTTTGTGACAAGTCGCATTTTCGTCATGTCTGCTTTCATTGTGTCGACAGAAAAACAATTTTTTCCCATTTTTTTCAATCACTCGGCTCCGGAATGGTAGAACAGAATCTTCCATACACTTATTACTATTATAGAAGAATTCATGTCCTAACGGGATGGTCGAGGTGGGTAAATTAGTGGGTACGGGTGCAGCTCCGGCGGGAAGGCTGTAAATGTAATCGTGCTCCAGAAAACGCCGATATTTCGCCACAATAAACCTCATTGCCGGGTTCTGGCAATGAAAATGTGGATAAATCCTGTTGTTAAATTTAGGAAAATTAATCTCTAGCTCGTGATGTTGCCAGAATCCATGTTTTGTTGGTTTCTGATACCGAAGAATCGACTGACGGCAAATGTACATTTGTCAGTCTGTGGTTAATACTAGCGTCTAAACCGTTCAGCTGATTTTTATCAAACTTGATATTAACGGACTGAAGGCTTGTTGAAGGTTTTTTACATAAACCAGGCACTTACCTTTTTATGCCTTTGTTAGAGTTCGAATGATGCGTCGCTTCTGCGGCGTAGTGGTATGCGTGCCAGCACGTTAACTCTGAGGATCTGAGTTCGAGTCTCCGAGAGGAGAAATAATTAGCTGCTTGACAATACTTTTGCTTGGTATGTGTACTGTTACGGAGTTTTTAAAAACAATGCGAGAAAATATTTGCTTTGGCAGCCCCACTAGTTTCTTTTTGATGCATGAAGGTGCCTTTACACGTAGAGACTAAGTAACTTTCATGAAGTTAAGAGATAAACTTAGACGTCTTAACACGATTCGAAATATCTCCCGAAACGCGAGTCCTTTAACGCACGGGAGAGTCGTTTTCGCAGATATCCCCGGAAAAGTATATCTTTGCTGTATCAAGTGTAAACAAATTTCTCTCATGTCCTTTGGCGCAGCCATGTTCGATAAGCAGTGGCGAGCAGTTTGAGGTTAGAATGTGACAATATTGCAGCTGTCTGTGCCACTTTCATAATTTTGAAGAAACGGAGGAAAAGCAAGAGACAAGTGTGGGTGTTTTTTATTATTATTCTTTTTTGAGAAGATCTGAGTATTTATAACAAGTAGATAACGAAATTACGAGGGGATTTGTAATA